AAAAAAAAAAAAAAAGTTATACATAGATTTTTCAACTGTGCTGGGGGGGAGGGTCGGTGCCCCAATCCCCACATCATTCAAAGGTCAACTGTGTATTTTAGGTGAATTTTATAAAGTAGGTGCATTATACCTCATTGAAATTGTTTAAAATTTCTGTTTTTAAATCATGCTGGAATTTTAAAATTGGAATTGTGTTAAAACTATAGATCAATTTGGATAGAAGTGACATCTTTACTATGCTGAGTGTTCCAACCCGTGACCATGGTATGTCTCTCCATTTATTTAAGTGATCTTTGATTTCTTTCATCATCTTGTAGTTTTCAACATACAAATCCTGTAGGTTTTATTCAATTATATCTAAGTGTCTGATTTTTTCTGAAGCCACCAAAATGGTATTTTTAAAAATTTCACTTTCTATTATAATTATACATTGCTAGTTCAGTAGCACCCCACCCCCTTATGTGTGGTTTTGTTATCCACAGTTTCTCTTTCTGCGGTTTCAGTTACCCACAGTCAACCATCCTCTGAAAATAGGTGAGCACAGTACGATAATTTTTAAAGTTATATTCACATAGCTTTTATTGCAGTACATTGTTATAACTGTTCTATTTTATTATTATTGTTGTTCCTTTCTTACAGTGCCTAATATATAAATTAAACTTTATCAAAGGTATATATGCATAGAAAAAATACATAGTATATGTAGGGTTTGGTATTATCCAAGGTTTCAGGCATCCACTGGGAGTCTTGGAATGTATCCCCCAAGGATAAGGAGGGACCACTGTATATAGAAATAAAATCAATTTTTGTGTTTTGACGTTGTATTTTGTAACCTTGCTAACCTCACTTATTAGTTCTAGTAGTTTTTTTCATAGATTCCTTGGGTTTTCTATGTAGATAATCATGTTGTCTGCAAATAGGGATAGTTCTATTTTCCCTTTCCAATCTGTATGCCTTTCATTTCTTTTTCCAACCTGATTGCATTGGCTAAAATAAAGTTTTTAAACTATGTCAACATAATTAATCTATGCTCCACCTGTGGCCTCTATGGGCCAACTAAATTTCAGTAGCAAAAACAGGGACATATTAGTTAAAATTTCACACTTGTATAGTTTTCAAATATAAAATTTTTAGAAAACATAGCACAAACAGTAACTGTCCCCTATACAGTACTTTTCCTATATTATCTCATTTGCTCTTCATAACAATTTAATAGGTTCCACATTACTGAAGAAGGAAAATGGGCCATCCTAGGCCAAGCAACTTGCCCACCTGGGCTTGGGTGATCACTGTTGGAGCAGACATCAACAGAAGTCAGACTTGCCAGGACCAACCTGATCTCTCCTACTGGAGAAGTCTCTGTCCTTCCTCCCACTGGCCAGCTGGGCAGCCCCAGGCACTGCCTGAGCTGACCTCTCTATAAGCAAATCAAAAGCCAGGATACAGTTGGGCACACGATGAGAAGGGCTGAGAGAACACTGGTCCATCTGGACCTTGACAGGAAAAGTAACCCTGGCTTAGGAATGATGCCTAGAGCATAATAAAAATACTCATGAATCACAGGACAGGTACCTATAAAAATAAATAAATAATAATAAAAAAAGAAATACTCATGAAATGTTAGTTATTATTTATACCCAAATTCACCTTTAGAATGATAAACGAGTATGTGCACAAAGATACAGACAAAAGCATTGACTATAGTGGTGGAAAATAGTAAATAACAATAATGTCAATTAACAGGAGGCTGATTAAATAAATGATGACACAACCACACTAGGGTATATTATACAGTTATTTAAAAGATTGAGGGAAATCTGTGTATATATACTGTACACATTAACATGTAAAGATTTCTAAGATCTTTAAGTAATCAAAGATCACTAAGTGAAAATACGTGCCATACAATCTCATTATGTTACCAAGAAAAAAAAAAAAACTACATATGCACAGAAAAGACTATATACTACTACAGAAGTGCGGAAGGAGGCCGGGAGCGGTGGCTCACACCTGTAATCCTAGCTCTCTGGGAGGCTGAGGCGGGCGGACTGTTTGAGCTCAGGAGTTCGAAACCAGCCTGAGCAAGAGCGAGACCCCGTCTCTACTAAAAATAGAAAGAAATTAATTGGACAACTAAAAATATATAGAAAAAATTAGCCGGGCATGGTGGCGCATGCCTGTAGTCCCAGCTACTCGGGAGGCTGAGGCAGGAGGATCATTTGAGCCCCGGAGTTTGAGGTTGCTGTGAGCTAGGCTGATGCCACGGCACTCTAGCCCAGGCAACACAGTGAGACTGTCTCAAAAAAAAAAAAAAAAAAAAAAAAGAAGTGCGGAAGGAATTTCACTTTTTGCATACATAGTCCCAATACTGTTCACATTTTTTAATCAACTGAAGTTTTACAACTTTTCTCATCACTTAAAAATATTATTTTAGTCTCTCTTTCAGGTTGTATCCTAGAGCTACACTTTTCAAACCCTTGTATCTATGCTCCTCAGGGACAAACGAGAGTATGGTTGAATCTCAGATGCATTATGCTAAGTGAACAAGCCAGGCTCAAAGCCCACATATGACATCCTGGAAAAAGCAAAACAGTAGAAGCAGAGAACAGATTAGCGGCTACGGGAAGCTGAGGATGGGGGGACAGGTTGACTACAAGGGGCAACACGAGGGAACTGTGGAGGTGATGGAACTGTTCTGTATCTTCATCGTGGGGGTGGTGGTCACACGAGTCTACGCATTTGTCAAAACTCATTGAATTGTATAGCAAAAAGTGAATTTTACCATATGCAAATTTAAAGATAAATTTAAACACACACACACACACTTCAGGGACACATTTTCTTTGACTGACTTCTCAGCACACGAACGCATTAACACAGGAAATGCTCTCTGCAGCTCTGCCTTGTCCTCTGTCACAGCGAGGATGCCGCTGCGGGAGGAGGGCAGCGGGGAATCCCACAGCACTGCACAGTCTGCCTACTGAATTCCTACAAACGCACACCTGCCATGGCCCACGTTTACTTGAAATATGATTAGTGCTTTCAGGCTCTGTGCCTGTAGATCCAGGCTTTACATGGAAAACCATTAGCCACCCGCAGGGATAAAGGACAGCACTCCTTGGTCCGTGAGCGACTGCAGCTCAGGCTGCGGAACCTGGCCAGGACTCGGTAGCGCCATCCCCAAGTCGGCAAGCCCAGCAACCCGAGCCTCGGTTCCGGGGATCACCGCTGCTTCAGTCACGCATCATTTGAGGAACCGTGTTAGAAGACGGCCAAGAAATACCACTGGGCTTACGAGGCAGCGAAAATCTGTCCGATGTGGCACACTACAGAAACCCTCCCCTACAGAAAAAAAGACATTCCAAAGTCTCCGACGCCCGATCTGCGAGCGCAGATCACCCGGCAGTGGGTCGACTGCAATCTCTATCCATACCGTTTAGACCTAACAGCAGAGTTGACATCGTCCGGACGCCTCTCACGGCTTAAAAACGCTCCTTACATCCCACTTCCTAAATATTCTTCCACCCTTTTTCCTCGCACCCCCAAAGTGCTGCAAATTAAACTGAAGCATTTCAGGCTTAAAATATACAATTCAGATGGCTGTGCGGAACAGTGCTGCCCACGTAACAATCGCGTTTCCTAACAAAGCCCAAAACTCAGCTCCAAAAATCTGTGGAATGGTTTCGTTTGACCACGATCTCCCGCCTCTCCTCGGAGCGGGGCGGGGCACGAAACAAAAACGGGTTCAGGTGTGGTCGCACGACCTTAGAGCAAGGCTAACAATCCGTCTGCTCCTTACTTTCCAACAATAACATGCAAAACAGCGATGCATTCCTTCCCCATTGGAGTTCTGCCACGTGCCGAGGACGCGGGATCCAGGATGCGGGATCAGGGGCCGCGGGGGCGGGGAGCTCGGGATCAGAGGCCAGGTGCCGGGGGCAAGAGGGACTAGGCCCCCTCGTGTGTGGGACCGGGAGGCCCGGGGCCGCGAGGGCCGGGAGCTGGGGGACGCGAGGCCCAAGGCGACCCCGGGAAGCTGCGCCGCCTGGGAGGCCTCGCCACCGAGAGCCAAGTCCCAGCCGTTCGTGGGGCCCTGTCCCGGCCCCGCCGCCACCCTGCCCGGCCCCGGTTCCGAGGGCAGCCCGGACCCCACGGAGAGTGCAGGGAGCAGGAGCAGCGCCGTTCCTCACCTGGGTCCGCGGCGGCGGCGGCTCGGGGGTCCCGGGCGGGTTCTGGGAGTTTCCAGCCCGAGTGAGTCACTCGGGCGGGCCGGGAATGCGCCAGGAAACACTCGGCCTCCTCCCCTTCCTCCCAGGGCGGGGGCTCTCCCGGCTCGGCCTCTTCCTCCTGGCGCTCCTCCCTCCGGGCCGAGGCCCTGTCCGCTCCCTCCTCCCGGCGGGGCGTCCCCCGCCCCTTCCTCGCCTCCCAGTGCCGCGGCAGCGCACGGTCAGCGGGAAGGAGTCGTCTGAGCGGCCCTGGCCGCGCTCCCCGCCGGCCGCCGAAGGTGTTCTGCCAGGCGGAGAGCCCCGAGGGTCACCTGCCTGCCCACACGACCTCAGCTTGCGCGGGACAGGGGCGAAGCAGGCGTGAGGTCCTCCCGGCTCACGGCCCAGAGGGAACGGGGGTCCGCCCCCTGTCCCGGGACTCCACGGGGCAGGGCGCGCAGGTGTCGCGCCGGCGCCAGGGAGGAAACTCGCACACCTGCGCTCGGCGGGCGGGCGCGGGGCAGGTGCGGCAGGTACACGCCGTGGGAGCCTACTGGGAGAAAATGACCCCGATGCGGCGCAGCAGTGATCACATCTCTACAACCCCCACCTCCCCTCTGAGCCATGGGCACACGAGTGCGCAGACTTGTGGGAATGGCTAGTAGAAGAAAACTTGATTTGAACTAGTCCCAAAAAACAATCTTGAGAGAGGCCAGGTAACATACCTCATATGGAAACGCTGAATGGAGTGAGCTTGTCACAAGCATGCTTAGAAAAATTGCCCTAAACTCCCCAAGCCAACCCCAAGTACCTCACTCCCCCTTCACTCCCGACCCGGGTTCTTGCGGAAAACAGTAATGATGAGCATCAGGTATTCTAGTATAGCCTCTAGATTTTGAAAACCACAAAAGGGTCAATTGCCCCCGGCTGTGCTCTGGGTAAGGCGAAAAGTTAGCCAATGGATCCTGGCCAGCGGATTGAGACAATCTACCAGTTGACTCAATATTCAGAGATCACTTTCTCTGGACTCTACTGGAGGTTCCTCACACTCCTGCACAAAACAGGAGTTTTGAATAACATTCTCGTTCCCAGCCCACACATTTTCAATCAGTAGATTGCTGCTTTTCTTTGCCCAGGACTCAGATTCTAAAGATTTTTTACACTATAGGTGAAGTGATAGAACACAAATTCAAGGTATATTGTGATAATTTTAAAATATTGTAATCCCTAGAGCAATGAATTAAAAAAAGTATAGCTAAAAAAATTCAAGAGGAGATAAAGTAGAATATTAAAATACATTTAATCCAGAAGAAGGCAGGAAAGAAGGAACAAAAAGCACATAAGACAAACAGAAACAAAGAGCAAGCTGTTAGATTTAAATCTAACTGTATTAGTAGTTACATTAAATGTAAATGGACTAAATACATAATCCATTTACTAAATGTAAATGTATACTATATGTAAATGAATTAAAACACAGAAATTATCACATTGGATAGAAACAAGACCCAAATACATGCTGTTTAAAAAAGACATAATTTAAATATAACGACACAAAGAGGCTGAAATTAAAAAGATGCAAAATGATTTATCATACACAAACTAATCATCAGAAAGTTGGTGTGACTATATTAATATCGAAGTAGACTTCAAGTCAAGGAGCACCACCAGAGATAAAAAAGGACATTTAATAAAGATAAATGAGCTAATTCATTAAGAAAAAATAAATTTTAGTGTGTATATATATCAAGTAAGTTTTGAAATACTTGGAAAAATGGATAGAATGAAAAGAAGAAATAGGCAAATATATACCTTGTAATTAGAGATTTTAACTAATCTCTATTAGTAATTAAAAGGCAGGCAGGCAGACACAAAAAGAAGTAAAGATACAAGAAAATTTAAAAATAATTAATCTACTTGAACTTAATGGTACCTCCACAAAACAGAATGCAGAATACCTTGTATAGAAGGAACAAACATTTTATACTGAAGACCTCAAGCTATTACTGACAGTAATTAAAATTTTCAAATACACACGTAACATTGACAAAATACACCACATGCTAGGAAGTAAAAAAAGTCTCAATAGATTTCAAAGGATTGAAATCACATACAGTGGTCCCCCCTTATCCTCAGGGGAGAGAATCCAAGAGCCCTAGTGGATGCCTGAAAGCTATACTGTATATTCTGTGTGTTTTCCTGTACATACCTATGATAAAATTTAATTTATAAATTAGGCGCAATATGAGATTAACAGCAATAATAAAATAGAACAATTATAACACTATAATATAAAAGTTATGTTTTGCTTTCCATGGTTTCAGTTACCCAAGGTTTGGAAATAGGTGAGTACAGTACAGTACTTATTTAGAAACAACCATTTAAAGCCTCTGGAAAGGGTGTAAGGGCAAACAACCATCGAAGAAACATCTGTAGAAATGGGAGCACTGTAGAGCAATAGAACAGAGTAGTGAACAAAAAGTACACATTGTATGGTCAACTGATTTTCAGTTAAGATGCTAAAGGAATTCCATGGAGAAAGAAAGGACTTTTTTTTAAAAATAGTGATGTAATAACTTCATAACCTTGTGGAAAAAAACTGAACCTTGACCCCCTACCCCACACCATACACAAAAATTAACTAAATGTGGATCATAGACCTGAATTTGAAAACTAAAGATACATAGCTTCTAGAAGAAAACATAAGAGAATAATTTCACAATCTTGGGGCAGAGGTAGGCAAAGATTTCCTGGAACAGAAAAAGTACTAACCAAAAGGGTTAGAAAAAAATGATCAATTGACTTGATCAAAATTTTAAAACTTCTCATCAAAAGATAATGTTAATAGACTAAAAACCCGAGGCACAGACAATATTGCAAGACAATATTGTAATACATAAAACTGACAAAGGGCTTGTATCCAAAATATATAAAGAACCCCTACAAATAAAAAAAAATGACAATCTAGGAAAATTAGGGCAAAAGATTTTAACCGACGCATAAGAAATTTTGGAAGTCTTTTACAAAATTAAACATACATATATCCTATGACAAAGTAATTCTACTCCTAGGTATTTAATAGAAATAAAAATTAGGCCAGGCATGGTGGCTCA